AGCAGAGGCACTTCTCCAGAGGGAGATGGCTGCACACTTGGCTAGCTTAACTCCTCCTCCTGGGGTGGATGTGGGCAAGTGTTATGGTCTTTTGAAACCTTCCCAGAGGCACTGGGTGTTGGCTACAGCCAAGGCCTTGATATCTGGACAAATATCTGGCTGGGGTATTATGATCCCAGCACTCATTCCTGCCCAGGGCAGGGGGTTGGACTTGATGATCTGTTCAGGTCTCTTCTGACCCTAGAAACTATGGAGGCAGGGGACTTGGACTGGGGAGCACCAATACTCCTGCTGGGACCAAAGCTGGAGGGCACTGAAGGATTCCCTTGATTTCCTGGCTCATTCCCATCTCCTGCTCTCTTCTAAACGGAGGTGTACCAATTCTCCTGCTAGAAGCAGAGCCAGAGGTTCCTCGCTAGAGGGTTTTGCCCCTCTGCTCAGGCTCAGACTGATTGCTATAGGGTATTGCAGGAAGGAATTTTTATAGTTTCATAGATACTAGGGGCTAGAAGGGACCTTACAGATCATTGGGTCCAGCCCCCTTGCACTTGGGAAGGAAAGACTGCTGGGGTAAGATGACCCCAGGAAGATGGGCAGCAAGACACTTTTTGAAGTTTGCCAGGGTGGGTGACTGTACCATCTCTGCGGGGAGCCTGTTCCAAACTCTTGGCACTGGACTGGTAAAGAAGTTTTTCCTTATGTCTAGCCTGAAGTGATCTTCAATCAGTTTGTATCCATTGTTTCTTGTCCTCCCCTGGGGGGCCTTGGTGGACAGATGCTCCCCCAGGCCCTGGTGTACACCTCATATATACAGGTACTCCTTGCTTAACGTCATCCCAGTTAACGTTGTTATGTTATTACATCACTGATCTATTAGAGAACATACTCTTTTAAAGTCGCGCAATGTTTGGTTATAATGTTGTTTGGCCACCAACTGCTAGTAGGTAACTACTACTGTGGTGTAATTGGATTCGCTTAACATTATTTTGCTTAAAGTCGCATTCTTCAAGAACATAACTACGACATTGAGCAAGGGGTAGCTGTACTTGTAGGCTGGCACCAAGTCCCCTCTGAGTCTCCTCTTCTCCAAGAAGTCTGACCCTGAGCAGAAAGGCAAGACCCTCCGGCTTTGGTCCCAGCAGGAGCACTGGGGCTCCTGGGTCCAAGTCCCCAGCCTTCATAGTTTCTAGGGTCGGAAGAGACCTGAACAGATCAAGTCCGACCCCTTGCCCTGGGCAGGAACGGGTGCTGGGATCATAATACCCCAGCCAGATATCTGTCCAGATATCTAGGCCTTGGCTGTAGCCAACACTCAGTGCCTCTGGGAAGATTTCAAAACACCCTGACACTTGTAGCAGAAAAGGGGGTGGAAGCCAGCAAAGCACAGGAAATCCGCATAGTAGGACAGGCACAGCTCTGCCTAGCTCCGTTAATGGTCATTACCGTGGTCAGATTGGTACAGACTGGGGGGCGGAGGCGAGGGCAGTTTGCCTTCCTCCCTAGCCGGGGCTGGGATCTCCCGGGCACGCACTGACCGCCTTTTCTAGAAGTAGGACTTGGCTGCTTTCCCCGTGGCAGCGTAGGCGCAGTACGTAGGGGAGTCCCGTGCAGAGTTCAGATCGGGCGTGGTTTGGACAGGAGGGGCTGGACTAGAGACCCCTCGGCAGGTCCCAGGGCAGCCCCACGTCTCGGGCGGTGCTTTTGCTGAGGCTGGGGCGGCGCGGGGGCCTCCTCGCTGCGCTGTGCACGGGCACGCACCTCCGCGGAGCACGGGCAGGCCCGGCCCGGCCCGGTCCCGCTCCCG